TTTTTTTTTTGCAAATTATAACATGCACTGTACCAAAATTGCACAATGTCCCCAATGAGCTTGATCAACTGAGTTACAGTGTGACTACTCAAACTAGGCCACCGAGAAGAAAACTAACCAATCAAAACAAAAAATGAGAACAATGGACTAGTTTGTAACATATAGCTTCTGATGACAGCAAGTAACGGTCTGTTTGACGTGAAAACATGAACACTATTGATTCCTCTACATTATAAACACCCTTAGAGATTCAGTCCTTACATGTAACAGTGAATTATCATTACAAATCTCGCTCGCAAAATTTGCCTTAAAAACTCATTTTGCAACAACTAAACTGAAACCGTTGATAAGTGTACAAAATTTAGGATCGAAACAAACTAATCAACAAATAGCAAAGTTTCCTTAGAGGTTTGCAACACCTCACACTTTGTTGAGTTTTCAACTTTGATAAGATAGACATTGTTCGTACAGGGTATTCTTCAATATTCACTGCTCGAAAAAAAAACCCATCCACTCATCCGGGACAAATACAATTTCCTCTCGGGCAAGTCACTTTCCCTCCTCACTTGCCCCACGGGCAAGAACCCAGGCAAGCCGTCCACCAACTACCGATAGATGTTTGATAACAACTTTGTAACAACTAAATTTTTGGCACATGGAAAGTGTTTAGATGGGTTTTGACAAAAATTACAAGTCATAGTGTTGTTTTGGTTATTGCGTGGCACTTGTTCATAGTTCAGAAGTGGTTACCTAGCATATGATCAAAATCTGCCCTGATCAAAGTTCTTTCCACAACTAAAAGTAACTGTGACCAGCATGAAAATGCTGTGTTTATTTCTTAAAACTTCAGCAGTATTTTTCCTGGGTTTTTTTGCGAGCATTTACCAGTTTCACAGTAAAAGCGACATAATTGTGTCACTGACAGCTGTAGAAGCTGTACCTGAAAAGAAGCCGTATATTTGTACTGCAAAAACAAATCCCTCACCAGCAACCAAAAATCTCCCTCACAATCTTCCGCAAATGCTTTTCTAACAGAAATATAAGCTTACTTAAGGCACTGCCACAGACTATTAAAACAAAATTGATTAGCAGTCATCACAAAATTTGACCGAAAATAGTTTTACATTCAAAAACACACGTTTCCACTCAACTGAAACTATTTATCAACTACCTAAAAGAAAAAAAATACGAACTTGCCGGCTTTACAAAATCAACATGGTGCCCTGAAGAGGAGAAACAAAAACGTTCTTTTTTTTACTTCTTGTTTTTAATTTTATGCGCTTCCCTTAAAAATGATTTTTTTGGAGTTACTTAGGCAAGATGCCATTTAACATTCAAGGAGTCGCACATAACCCAGTTCCACAGATTGAAAACATTGATTCAAGGATTTTTTAAGATACCCAGCCCATAATTCAGGAAACGGCAAATGAAACAGATAAAAACTAAGAAGATTACAAGCATGTCAGACAANCAACTAAAAGTAACTGTGACCAGCATGAAAATGCTGTGTTTATTTCTTAAAACTTCAGCAGTATTTTTCCAGGGTTTTTTTGTGAGCATTTCGCCAGCAACCAAAAATCTCCCTCACGATCTTCTGCGAATGTTTTCTAACAGAAATATACTGTCATGGACTATTAAAACAAAATTGATTAGCAGTCATCACCAAATTTGACTGAAAATAGTTTTACATTCAAACGCAGACGTTTTCACTCAATTGAAACTATTTATCAACTACCTAAAAGAAAAAAATACGAACTTGCCGCCTTTACAAAATCAACACCGTGCCTGTTTTAGAACTGAAGAGGAGAAACAAAAATGTTCTTTTTTTTTACTTCGTTTTTAATTTTATGTGCTTCCCTTCAAAATGAATTTTTTGGAGTTACTTAGGCGAGATGCCGTTTAACGTTCAAGGAGTCGCACACAACCCAGTTCCACAGATTGAAAACATTGATTCAAGGATTTTCTAACATACCCAGCCCATAATTCAGGAAACGGCAAATGAAACAGATCAAAACTAAGAAGATTACAAGCAAGTCAGACAAGTTGTTACATTCGAACACGCCAGTGAATAACTTGCATTTCTGGTTTCATGAATTATTAATGAGTTTGAAAACTTGGGCAAGTGAGGAAGTGTCCCGGGCAAGCAATATTTGAGAATTACTTGCCCATGGGGCAAGCTGGAATTCAAATATTTTTCGAGCCCTGATATTATTGGTTTATTACAAAAAAAATATTGCTATCCTTTGTTCTCAAGTAACATTCTGATTGGTTAACACTTTTCCAAGTGACCCAGTTCAAAAAGTCACAATGTATACATGTTTTTGTATAAATTCTTTAGAAATCATATTGTCAAGGTTTACAAGAGACAACAACAACAATACTTTATTTACTCTATGTCAGAATAGCTTTAAAAAAATAAATTCCAGATACAATGTGCTTGGACAAAATGTACCATAGAAAGACCAAATTTTTAAACTGAATATCTGATCACATTATTTATTTGATTTCTTCCAAGGAGGACCTTGTGTGAAAATGCTCAAAGGATTTATAATACATTTATAAGCATGAAGACTATGCACAGATATTTATATTTTATCTTTTCTTTCAAACAAATAATTTTTCTTTTGAAAAAAGTTCTGGTCCCAGTTGTTCGAAGGCTGGATAATGCTATCCACCACACAAATCGCTATCCAGTGGATAAGAGTTAACAAAACAAACCACGCTATCCACTGGATATAGTGATTTCAAACATTTAAAAAAGATGACACAACATTTAAATTTGCAAGACATATTTCGGATACTCAGTATCCATCTTCAGTTAAAGGATGTTTTTGTATCCCTTACGTATTATGTAACTTTTTCACTGATTTGTACTATTATTCTACATTTTGTAATTTACACCTACCTGTTACCTACTTTATATAAAGTCACTCACTTGTAAGCATCCTTTAACTGAAGATGGATACTGAATATCCGAAACATGTCTTGCAAATTTAAACAACGTGTCGTCTTT